ACGTCGGGGCGTTGGAGCGCCGATGGCTGATTGCTTGTTGGTGCAATGCTGCTGCCTTCTTCGGGCAAAACCGCCAACTCGGCCATCAGTTGCAGTCGCCACGGCGAATGTTACAGTTGTTTGTGTTAAAGCGCGGCGTTAAAGATGCGGCATCAGTAAATACGGTTTAAAACGAAACGCAAGCGAAAAGGAAATTAAAAAAAAAAAATACAATAAAAATACCACGAGCGCCAGCGTGAATGAAAAAGTGGAATGAATGAAACTTGAACAGTGAGACAAGGAAATTGAATAAAAATTAAAAAAAAAGTGAAAATGTTCCGTTAAATATTGTAAAGTGCTTAAATTTAATCACGTTTGGTTTAAAGTCGAAACCGTTTGGTTCGAAAGCATATGTAGTATGAACAAATGTTGCCACTTATATTTAAATATAAAACTAGGAAAATATTAAAAAATTACAAAAGCTTATCAAAGCTCCGCTTTTGCTGTGTCTACAAAATGGTTATTTTTGGTGCTGCCACCTTACTTTTTTCTAAAACTCAAAAAAAATTGTGTGAAATAAAATGTGCACAAATTTAATAGATTAAAAAGTCGAAAAATATAACTGAAAGTTGSAACAAGGTTGCCACCCTCAATTATTTTCTTTCACCTAAAACCCTAAAAACATCAAAAAAGACAAAAGTTTATCAAACTCCCGCTAGTTTGCCCTCAAAATTGTGATTTCTGGTGCTGCCACCTTATTAGATTTCTAAAAATTTAAAATTTGTAAAATGTGCACGGCTTTAATGGTTTAAAAACTCGAAAATTATAGTTTAATGTTAAAACAAAGTTGCCACCCTCAGTGAAATCGTATACATATATTAATTTAAAAATTAATTACACTGCTAAAATTTAGTACTTAAGTGACTGAAATAAAATGGTAAAATAAAATGTACAAAACTCCTGAATTTATATTTCAGAAGAAAGTTTTTACAAATAAAAGTTCCCACATATTTTACTTTGAATTAGTCAATTATCCAAAATAATTAAAAAAACGATTAAGAAGGGGCTAAGTTCAGGTGCAACCGAGCATTTTATACGCTTGCGACTTGCAGGATTCAAAGCCAGGGAAATATTTTAACTTACCAAATTTGATTAAAATCGATCGAGCGGGTACAGGATAAGTGATTTTAAACGCGTTTTGTGGGCAGAAAGTAACCCGGATTTGAACTCGCCTCGACATCCGGATAATTTATATATGTATATATATAACCATCTATATWTAGGTAGGTAGGTAGGTAGGAGTGCAGCCCTGTTATCTATCGGGCTCAATTAGCACTTGAAGTGCCATTTTGATACACTATTCGTAGAACCTTCTGTATCTGCTATTACGTTTCTCAAACCATTTTGAGGTTTCGACGAAGCAACTTATGTTTGATATGCTTTTAGTGGAAAACTATTCAAGGCTTGGTGCTTGATGGCTTCTATGTGTTCTGTGTCGGATCTGTTMTAGAGCTGGGCATTCGCAGAGAAAGTGGAAAATTGTTTCCTAGTTCCTTGCTTTGCCGCAACCTCGGCGGATGTCGTTCTAGGGCATACCCATTTTGGACGCATGTTCCGCAAATGGTCAGTACCCTGTTGTGATAGCTATTACTCTGTGGATACTTCTCCTCGACCTATTTAATAAGTCGTTGGTTCTTTTCCTGTCATATGTTGGCCACAATTGTTTAGTTATGATGCATTTTGTAATGTTTTTCCATCTGTTATTTGCAATTTGTTGAAATTGTATTGATCTCTCCTTAGATCGATCCTAGCGGGTTTGGTATTAGCTTCGCCTCGGATTCCTTGAGGAAAGCTCCTGCCTTTCGTCTGCTTTTTCGTTACCGAAAATGTTCCTATGACCGGGAGCCCAGACCAAGTCTAGTTGGAGCTTGTCTTTTATTGAGCTTAGTGCTTTCTTGCAGTTGTGAACTATACTGGAATTTGTCATGGGTGAAGACAAGGCCAGAAGCGGCGCCTGGCTAACCGTAAATATAGTAGCTTTATGTATATTCTCGTGATTTTCTAAAGAACTTCGCAGGCTTTTTCTATGCCAAGTGCTTCCGCTTGGAAGATGCTAGCCGTATAGAGAGAGATATGCCTAAATCAGCGGAGAATACCCCCGTGCCTACTCGCCAGTCCATTTAGGACCTGTCGATATAGACTGAGATGGTATCCTCCACCCCTATTGAACCTCTTCTCCATTCCCGTCTAGATGGTATCCTCAGCTGAAAGTGTCTCCAGTGAAATCCAGCTTTGGGAGAATGTAGTCTGATCTATTAGTGGTGAGCTTGTTGTGTTAACTACCGCCTCCACCTTCATACTATAACCGGTACATCCGGGAAACACGCTTAATCGTCTACTGGCTGAAGACGAACAGGGTGTTTACGCCGAAGTCCTATGAACTATGTTCAAAGTCATTGTTCCTCTCAAAGCGTAGGTTGTTCCGATGTTCGTAATAGTATTTTCGGTGAATTTTTGTTTCATTGTTGGTCTCGCGAGCCAGCGGGTTGGCCACTCGTTCGATGTTCGTAGAATGGGCACCTCTGACCTCGTACGGCCATCGTACTAACTCTCATTAACCATTTAGCCCTCTACACGAGTATTTTTACACATACCTCAATTTTAGATATTTTTTTCAAAAATATGTGAAAAAGGTGAAAAGTCGAAAATAAAGAACATAAAGTATAAAATAATGGCTCAAATTTGCAGGGAATTTAGTTTTTTATCATCAAAAACAAAATATAAACAAAATTTCTCGATGGAGTGCTCTAATATTCATATGTACATGTGTATATTAAGATGGCTCAAAATTGAATGTTCTTCTTTTGCTTGGTACTGTGAACAGCTCTAAGAAAGCTTATGCAAATGTGACTTTTAATTGTAAGGGAAAGTTTTTCCGTCTTAYTATTACCTATTTTTATGTTTTTGAGTATTCGTTAGTCACTTTAACATTTTGTAGGCAATTGAATGATCGAACACATATCTCTCACACCGTTTAAGCCAAGACAACCACATTCGCTCAAGATAAATCCTATGTGAACTCCAATCAACGGTGTGAAAATGCATAAAAGMGGACCATAACCCTTCCTACATAACGGTACTGTTTAAAAACTACTAAAAGTGTGATAAGTCAATAACTAAATACGCCGGTGACATAAAATTTTACACTCGATATGGTATGAGGGGCTTGATAGGAGCCGGGGTAGAAACTGAACGATGTGCGTGGCACCGCCCACTTTTAGGTGAAATCCCATATTTCGAGCTGCTCAACCGACTTCAATTCCATATTTTACTTCATTCGTACGTTATATTTTATGGTGCGAAAATGTCGGTTTCGGACCACAACCACATCTATTCCTCATATAACACAATTTTAAATTCCTTTTGATTCTTCACTTTCTTTCACTTTTCGATATACAAATCAGGAAGCACTCAATATAACGCGCGAAAACTTGACCTAGCTCCCACAAAAGTAATATATAATATCCGGGCAACTTTACTGCACATAATTGGTGATAGTATGTGACGTCCCTGAATACTGAATCACAGGGAACATTTTATTAGTACTTGACATGTTAACGACGTGGCCAAACTAGAYAAAATCAGGTAGATACTACCCCCARCTCCCTTGTAATACATTTATATAATGATTTCGTTTTTCTAACAAACCTTATGTCGAATATGYCGGTCAGTGTATGAGTTATATGTAGTATAAGTATATATWATATAAAATTGCTTGAGTATCGACCCWCTGGTKGACGTTTTGCACCTCAAGGTATTTACCTGGCCATGATTCTTGTAAGTTGCAAGAGTATAAAATGTTCGGTTGCACMCGATCTTARGCCTTCYTTACTTACTTTTCTTTTGAATTTTATAAATAAAAAAATATCATTCTAAATCGAAAAACTCATTGCTTTATAGCGCATTTACCGCAGAGCCAAATTTTCAGAGTACCGAGCGAAAACTAAAAATTCGTTTATTGTGACCCACCCTAATGTATATATAATAAAAACTCCTACCATTTTTCACTAACGCAAAATTTTTTTTTTTTTGTTTTTGTTTTTCTGCATAAAACTTGCAAAGTGAGTTATATTATTTTATTAACTACAACAACAGCTTTTGTAATTACTTCATGTAGGCAAACTTTCGAATGACAGTGTTGCCAACAAAACAGAAAAARGAATTAATGTAATTAACACAAGTGCATAAACGACAGCGAAGAGCAACTACAACGAAAGCGAAAGCGAAAGCAAAAAACCGAAACGTCTGAAAAAACGCAAATCAAAACTCAAAAGCAACGAAATTAACGACCAACAATAACAGCAATAACAACAGTGCTACAAAGCAAGAAACGCAAAGGAAAACTTTGTTTGTATGTATGTGTGTGTTCGCGTAATGCGCCAACTGAAAGTGAAATTTCACAAGTGCAAACTCACCAACACACACACACACACACACGCACACACAGCGTCACCCATCGTCACCCACCCACCGAGCCACATAAAATAAAATAACAAGCACTTGAGTGCATGTGAATATAGAATTGTGTATTTGTGGCGCTTGTTGTTGGCGCATGCAGGCGGAAAACGAGCGTTAAACAACTGCCTACCGCGGCAGCCAAASCAAGCGGCAAGCGGCAAGCGACGAAGCAGCTGCCACATCTCGTGTGAGTCGGCAGACAGCCAAACAAACACACATATGTATATACATATGTAGGTATAAACAACAACATAAGTAAGGGTGTGTGTGTGTGCTGCAGCTGCTGTAGCATCAATGGTGGCTTCTTAAGAAGCTCGGTGGTCGTGGTAGCACGTCTAAAATACCAACTGCAAGAACAACATAAAAAAATTTACAACAACAACAAAAAAATTAACAACAACAATAACGAAAAATTAATACGAAAAAACAACAAAAATAATAACAAAAACTGCTCACTGTTTTCTCTAAAAGCAAATAATAACAAAGTGAAAGCAACAACAACATCAACARCAACAAACATTTAAAACAACAAAAACATCGTCAACAAACAGCACGCTTGCCATGAAGCCCGGTAGCAGCATCAATCCCACACGGCTCGTACATCATAGCGACGGTAATTAAAAACTTCAAGTGTAAATGAATGAGTTTAATGGTGAGTGCACTGAGCTACCAAAAGCAAACMCACACACACATACRCCCCACATACATATGCCACATACYCGTAAATCAACATTTATATAGCTGTGTATGCATGCAAACATATGCTAACAGCCAACCACGCACATATTATGCCAAATATGCTGTCCTTCTAGAGATTCCACAATCAGGACTCATTTGTGTTGCTCACAAGTTTTGACTGATAATTTAGAGCATGTCTGATCTATGGGCTCAACATAATTTGTCGTCGCATAGCAAGAAATCTTCAGCTTCCTTGAAGATCAGTTTTGACTATCTAATATCAGCGTTTGCTCCTAAGCATTAGAAACTCACCTTTGAACCCCCTTTACCCTTGCAAAGCACCGAGTAGTCGGTTTACGAAGTTGTTGTGTTGAGACTAGGATCTAATGAGAATTCTATAGATACAGATATATAGATAGTAACTATTCCTAAGTCAATACAATTGTTGACTACCTTTATCGCTTTATCGTTCTCAACCAACCGAATCGGACGGGGATTTTTATYCGAAAATTACCGTCAGTTGAGCAGATTTCTTGAAATTAATTAAAGCGATTTTTTCGCAACAACAACAATTACTTAATATTACTTACTTAAAAGTTTAAAGAGCACCCAAACATTAATCGAAAACTGAGAATCACAAATATTCACGGTCAAGTGCCAAAACTAAATTGKTCGATGAAAAAAATATTTTTCTATTTTTTATYAGAAAACCACGRGAATATACATAAAGCAACWATATTTACGGWTAGCCAGGCGMCKCTYCTGGCCTTGTCYTCACCCATGACAAATWCCARTAKASTTYACMACTGCAAGAGAGCACTAAGCTCAATAAAAGACAAGCTCCAACTRGACTTGATCKGGGTTCCCRGCCACAGGAACATTTTYGGTAACGAAAAAKCAGASGAAAGGYAGGAGCTTTCCTCAASRAATCCGAGGCGAAGCTAATACCAAGCCCGCTAGAATCGATCWAAGGAGAGATCAATAGACAATTTCAACAAATTGCAAATAACAGATGGAAAAACATTACAAAATGCATCATAACTAAACAATTGTGGCCAACATATGAAGGAAAAGAACCAACGACTTATTAAATAGGTCGAGGAGAAGTATCCACAGAGTAATAGCTACCACAACAGGGCACTGACCATTTGCGGAACATGCGGACAAAATGGATATGCCATACAACAACATCTGCCGAAGCTGCGGAATAGCAGGGAACAAGGAAACAATTTTCCACCTTCTCTGTGAATGCCCAGTTTTCGACCGACACAAAATACTTGGAATCTATCAAGCGCCAAGCCTTGAATGGATTTCCACTAAAAGCATATCAAACATAAGTTGCTTCATCGAAACCTCAAAATGCTTTGAGAGAAAAGGTGAAACGTAATAGCAGATACGATAGGTTCCACGAATAGTGTATCAAAATGGCACATCAAGTGCCAATTGAGCCCGATAGATAACAGGGCTGTATTCCTATTTACCTACCTACTCTCTGGAATCAAAAAAGCTGGAGCCATTTGCTTGATGCTCACTACAAAACCTTCTAGTTTATATTTCAGGCTGAAATAAATTTTAAGAAAGAAAGTTCTGCTTTGAGAGAGCGGACACTTTTAGTCTTGTATTTCACATTAGCTTTTTTGCTGGAATTGTTTAAGCTGTGGCGAACCTAAACTCCCAGTATCATAGTTAATCTAATCTTATAACACCGAGCGGAGTTACAGCACAAACTGTACTTTTTCAGAATTACCCTACCTCGTACCCGACTACMATTAGGTCCTATAGATCTATATAAAAACAAATATATCGATAAAGAGTTTAAAAACTAATATACAATTAAGGTTTAGGTTTGTTTTATAGCAATATGCAATTATTGCTGTCTACGTGTCATCGTCAATGAAGAAGAAAAATAATCCTTGTTACAAGTGCCTAACTGAATCTTAAGCTCAAGGTATAGTATTTTCCAAATCCGTTTCTTKTGTGTATTTTCAATGATTTAAGTCTGGAGCTCTTTTCATATGATATTTAAAAGAATCGTTTCTTGACACTCGCAAGTGAATGGCACTTTCTCACTTGCGTGAACTTCTACACATGACTCCATCCTCTACAAGAGCGTAAGCGGTGTCTACGGCAGTTAAGAAGGAGAAGAGCGTTTCGAGTGCAAGCGCAAATCTGAGTTGAAGTTGAACTCAATCTTAGCATATGTACATATATCTATACTAAATATATGTATATATTATATAATATAGCCATTTAAATTTTAATCATATATGTATTATAAATACTTAT